CTACCAGGCCCCCATAAAGGGACTGATACATGAGCCAGACTTCAGATGAGGCCCGAAACACTCTGACAGCACCAAGTTAATACTAAGAGACTGAAGAATTCAAGGCAGTGGCAGAGACAGACTGTCATTTGCATTTCTCAAATGATTAAAACACTTGTTCAGGAAAGTGAAAACATGGGCTCTCTGACCTGCCTAGTTTGGTGCACTCAACCATCTTCAGGGAGTGAGGTATCAACCTCTCTGTGCAGGAAAACCCAGCACTCGGTTTGAGCTGTGCCATTGCTCAGAAGACAACCAGCATTTCCCTGCCAGACAAAAAGACTTATTCTTAGGGCAGTGATGTAGAAGGAGACATGTCCTGGATTTAACTTCTTTCTCCTAACATTGGAGAGAATACATAAATAATTGTCATTGCATTTTTTAAATTAAGGTGCATATGCAGTCCCCAGTGATGGATAAAAAAAAAAAAACAACAAAAAGAACAGAGCAGAAAAACTCATCACTATAAATTGATAGAGGTGCAAGGAAGAGCTCCATTGAGTAGGACAGCACTGCAATTTACAAGTTTTTGCCAACTAGAGATAAATCAAATGAGAAACAGCTCTCCAGAATTATGAAACCTGAAATAGAAGCTTTGCATACGGGATGTGTGCAAAAAAAAAAATAACGGGTCAGTGATTTTTTTGCTGTACCCAACCTGTGTTGACATGCTTTAACTGCAAATGCAGTTAAATGCACTCACATTTAACAGCCTTACAGTTTGAGGCCATGACCTATTATTTTGCACGATATCTGGAAGTACTACATATGTGAGCAGAACAATTGCATTTGCTACACTGTTGATTCCTAACAGCAGGTCTGAGGCATCAGGCTTACTGCTTTTGGAGCTGTTTTCATTGGCAGGTCTCAGCGTATGAAAGGCACAGGCATTTTCCATGAAGTATTAAAATGTCAGAGTGCTGTCCACACTACTTCTGTAGTGATAAAAATACACACATGAAAGAAAACACAAAAATATCAAAGCAGGAGAAGAAAATTAAAAGACCAGCAAAATTAAGACCTTCATGCAATAGCTGTGTGCCTGAAAACAAAATGGACTACCTTGACAACTAAAGAAATGCAGCAAGACCTAATTTTCAGGAAAGTGTCTTGTTTTGGGACTTCTTTTAAGTAATAGCAAGCCATTACTAATGGGCGAAAAAAATACAGCAGCAACAACACGTTTCTATTTTCAGTTTCTGTTGTATAGAGACATCTTATAGCCACTCTGTATAAGTCCTTCTCTGGGTTAGCAGAAAAACTCATGAGCATTTGAATACTCAAAAAAACATTTCTCCCACAGCCTAAAACAAAAAACAAGTGGTCTAAGATCTGAAAATTACAACAGCAGATCAAATATTTTAAAACCCTAAGTATAACTGAGAAAACAGCACAAATGGAAAATATGTTACATTATTTATCTCTATATTTTTTATATATGGATCAAATTGGGTTTTTTCTCAAGTCTGTTCCTAAAAGGATCACAGTTGTGTTAAAAAGGCTATAAAGGTAAGTTGCTGCTATAAAATAATCCACTGATAAAAACAAAAGGTGACAAACCTATCATAACTCATCACCACACAGTCTCCTGTTCTACAAAGATTCTGGTAAAATATTACCACAGATCTCAATTGCAACACCCTTGGTATTTAGTGACGTTATTAGGACTATGTTTAGGACTATCTATAAAACCTAAAACTGGTTAATATCGCTTTTAAAAAAATCTCACTAAAAAAGAACCTCCCACAAAAAAACATGGAGACATGGAGAAAGGCAGTCACCTGAAATTCCTTGTATTTAGCTGGGTATATCCTTGTGTTAGGCCTATTTGCACTAAGAGCCAAAGACCGTAAGTAACAGGTTACGGTCTACAAACCTCGGCCAGTTAGCTGGCAGTGACTGCAACATGGTATTTTGTACATGCAAGAAAGTTTCCACACAATCAGCTACAACATAACCTGTAACTGCACTCTAAATATCATCCACAGGACTATAGTATTTATTTTTACAAATAATTTATTTACCAAATTGTTTTATCCAACTGTAAATGATTTACAAACTCAAAACTAACAAGAACATGGAAAAAAGATCTGGAGCACAGACACCCTTCACAGAGAGAAGAGCGGGAAGAGATGAAAATTTGTTTTAGAAATGCTTCTGTTCAGGAAAAAAAGTATCATTGACCTGTCCTCACTTTAGCTTTTATTTTTCAATTCTGGAAGTTAAAGTACATCAGCAGGTGAGCAAGGTACTCTCAGGCATGTGGTGTCACTCTTGGGGATGGTCCTGTGCAGGGCCAGGAGTTGAACTTGATGATCCTTGTGAATCCTTTCCTGCTCAGCATAATCTTTGATTCCAAGACTTGTGTGAGAAGAGCAAGGGGAAGGTAACAGGCAGAATAAACAAAAAAAGCTTACAGATTTCATGATACTTTCTATAGGGAGCAAATATATGTATAGGGAGGAACCTCTAATGCATGCCTATTGCTCTGATTTCCCTGCTGAAAACTACTGACTGGATGATGCCTTCAGCCACAGAGACTGACAGAACTCAAAACACAGCCTTAGAGAACTTATCTAGTCATTTACAAATGCACAGTAAATAGGTAACTTCCCTCGGCATTTTTTTAAATGAAAAAAATACTTTTTTTGATTCTGACAGACTTAAGTTTAAAAATATTGCCAAACTTCAAACTCCATACATACATAAAACATTTCACTGATAAAGGGCACACAGGTAATTATGCAAACCCCTGATTCTTTATGCTAGCTTCATAGGATACCTCATAAAAGGGCTTTTTTTTCTTAATTAAATCAGCAAGCATGCACTCAAGCATCCTTACCATAGTAAATCAATTTGTGTGTGCATTGAATGAAAGCAAATTCAAAATCTAAACACACCACAGAACTGATTTCACACAAGGCGTTATTATAAGCAGTGTGGAAAGCGCTTTTAAAAGCACTGTTAGAAACACTTTGACAGTGCTCCTTTAAAAATTAATTTAAAGGGAGGTTGATACCTTCTTCCAATCCATAGCTAGATCTGAGCACCACTGTAGCAAAGAGCACAGAACTGATTTTTATTTCAGATGCATCAGTAAGATTAAATTGATCCTTGCTCATTGTACCATATAAAAATCAACAGAAAAGCTAAAGAAGATGGAAAAACCAAGGGAATTTACAGAGGAAAAGGTCACAGATACATGTAGTTTGAGAAAAAAAGAGAAGCCTTCTCCCCAAATACCTACATGCACTCTTCCACAACCCCATTCTATTATTATGAAAAGCTCCTTATGATTTTAAGAGACAGGAATATGCCCAAGGCAGTATATGTTGAGAAGAAATAACAGCTAGTATAACCACAGAGTGCAGCTTAGGTAGTCTGCTAGGGCAGAAACCTACAAAGACAAACCTGATATTCCTACCAGTAACTTCGGTATTTCCTGCTTAAGAGTATAATAAAACAGAAGTTGGTCCTTTTGAACAGGATCAGCAAATTTAGAAACCAAAAGCACACACAAAGAGCAATATTGATGTCCTCAGGCCTCCCACTGTGACCCAGCTAGGTGTCCCTTCCAACCCAGCTGCCACCACTGACTCAGTGCCACCTCTCTGCCCTCTCAGGGACAGCTGTCCATAGGCAGCTCCAGATGCCCATCTGCATAGAACCAAACATTCAAGTTACAGCGGTAAATTTCACATCCCATAACCATAACAGCCAATGAAACAGACTAGAGTTTTTAAGCCTTTGTGCCTATGCTCATCTGCAGAGGAATCCTTTCTAAGGGTCTAAAACAGTGTGTAAGGCTGCAGCTGAGAAGCTGCCGTTCACAACAGCACAGGTGTCACCACTTGTTCCTTCTTCCTTCTCACCGTCCTCCAGGCACAGCCCCTCAGCAAAATGCAGTTTTCACTGCCAGGTGAGCAGGGTCTCACCCCAGCTCCCCAGCAAAGGCAGTCTGGGGGAGAGGGAGTAAAGAGCAGGAATGAAGTGGCAGCCACGACAACCAGCCCCAGCAGCATCGATGGAAGGTGTCAAACTATGGCCTGAAAATCCCAAGGTGCCCTCAGGCAGTGGGGGTGCCAGTGGGATGCTGGTCCACCTCCCTTAACACAGGCCACGGACAGTTTGAGGCACACTACTGAAAGCACGCTTTAGAATCATAAAATCACAGAATAAGCTGAGTTGGAAGGGACCCGTCAGGACCATCAAGTCCAACTCCTGGCCCTGCAGAGGACACTGCAAGAGTCACGCCATGTGCCTGAGAGCACTGTCCAAACACTTCAACTCTATCAGTCTTCAACTCTGTCAGGCTTGCCTGACACCACTGCCTTGGGGAGCCTTGTTCCAGCGTCCAGCCACCCTCTGGGCGAAAAACCTTTTTCTAATATCCAACCTAAACCTCCCCTGCACAACTTCAGGCCATTCCTTTAAGTCCTGTCACCGGGCACGAGAATGAAGGGATCATTGCCTGCCCCTCCACTTCCCCTCTCTAGAGAGAAGGTCGGGTGCATATATACATGTATATATTTTTATTATTATCATATTTTCCAGGGAAAGTGCTGCAAGCCCCTTTATATGACCCACCATAGTATTGCTCGCAGTCCTCCTGTAAGGGGTGCGAGCAGCGCGGGATTCCCGGGGCACCGGCCCGAAGGAGCAGGGAGAGAGCCCGCGCTGCCCCCAGGCTGCACCGCCGCCCGCCCCGCCATGCCGGCCACCCCCGCCCGCGGGCTCCCCCTACCTGTCCGAGCAGCCGCCAGCGAGTTCGGGCCGCCGCCGCACCGCTCATCCCGCACCTGCCCGCAGCGGGGCGAAGCGGGGAACCGGTAGCCTCGGCCATGCGGCGGCGGGAGCGCCGGGAATTGGCGCGGAGGGAGGGAGCGCTGTCTTGGGCGGCGGCTTGAGTATCCAGCGGCTGCGGGACCGGCCGGGCTAGAGATGGAGCGGGACGAGGGGCGCGGCCATCTTTGCTAAGGGCAGTGCCGAGCGACCTTCGGCGGCCGAGGAAGTACGGTGCTCTTCAGGCCCGGCACGGCGGAGGCGCGCCTCAGGAAAATCGCCCGTGTCCTCCGTGCCCGGGGACGAGACTGGGCGTGGCACGGCAGCCACCCGGGAAAGCCGCGCCAGGGACCGTGCCCGCCCGCCGTGGCTCCGCATCCGGGCGCTGGCACCAACGGCGTTCTGCCGCCGCGGTTGCGAAGCGCCCTGCCGCCATCTTAGTTACGGGCAGCGCCCCCGGGAGCGCTGCCGCCCGCCCGGCGTCTCATGGCGGGCAGCCCCGGCCCAGCGGGAGCGGGAGGAGCGGCGGCAGTGCCACGGCGAGTCCTTGCGCGGGCCGCGGGCGGACGGGCAGCGCCGGCGGGGAGCGGGGCAGCGCCGGTTCCAGCCCGACACGTGCGGCCCGTCCCCTGCAGTGCTCATACGAACGGGGGTTTAGCTCCTGCTGCCCAGGGGACCCTCGGGAGAAGGCGTGGGTTTGGTGTTAGATGGGGAAGTGGGGGGGAACGATTTCTCCAAACTTTCCCAGGGTTCTGGCCTTCAGCGTTTGGACGTGCACGGTTGCACCTCCCCTTCTCTTCACAGTTTCACTGGAGTTGAACTTTGCGCCTCCAGGAATGTTCAGGTTAAAATGTGGGTGCCAGTTGTTAACAAACCAAGCTTTACTTATTCTCTTCTCATTTGATTTACCTAGTGAATCACAGTTCTCTGAAAGAGGAAGTTTACGCTATGTATATTTCTTATATATGTATGTATATTTACATTTATGCCTGCAGTTTACATTATGTATCTTTCACACACACAGTGTAAATGATCGGCAGTTTGGGATTTTCAGAAATTCCAGGTTGGCTGTCAAGAAATGAAGGTTAGGATGTGCTGCGCTGGACTGCAGAATCTCCTCCAAAGGCTGAGCTTCAGTGCCAAGTACTACTCTAAGCATAACCCTCCTCAAACAATGTGTCTTTACAATAAAATGGGACTAAAAAAGTGGCACATCCTGGGCTCTTCAAAAAGTATATGCACCCACAGGACTGCACCACCTGGAAGCATCCTGCCATGCAGATTCTTTTCCTGCAAGGTATGCTGTTTAAGTACAGACTTAATACCAATCACCACCTTGGCACATCTGTTAAGGGACCCAGTCATGTCCCTTTTCATGTTGAGGAAACACATTTTTCCCAGAGAATTTGAAGCAGAGGAATAAAGTACAGGATATCAGTTATGTTCAAAGATATGTACCATTGTTCAGCATTCCTATGTTGTTTTGACATAAAGCTGCATTTTGGGTGATTTTCTCACTGAATTTTGAAAAAATTGGTATCTTCCACAGCTAGGTAAAGTGTCAGGAGAAAAGAGCAGGGATAGATCAGCTAGTGTAAAGGCAATGTGTCTAAACAAGACTGAGCTAGCTCAGAAAACACTTGACTGGTGTCTGTGTTGACCAGTAAGTCATGGTTTCCATCATATTAAAATATAATACTGACATCTCATAATCATGCTCACATGTTCCAAAGTATATTTTAAAAGGTATTTGCATTGATTTCTGTAAATAAATATTGTGTAATTGCATGGCAGTATATCATTCACAGAGTCAGAAAACAGTCTGAAATTATTTGAGGTCTCAGTGTCTCTAATACAGATTTTGCTAGAGGTATTATAAAAGTTTACTGCAGTATGACAGCCTGGAAACTTATTTATATGCATAAGTAGTGTTTATAAAGATTTATGTTTTGGTTTATTTGATCCTAAACATGTTTTCAGATGGATGTGTGGTTGTCCTAAAATTGCTCAAATTGACGGTGTTTCTTCAGAGGTGACACGAAGTTTGTCTTGTAACTCTTTTATTTGTCACCAAAGTAGAGTTCCTAAATCTGTGTCTCAAATGTAAGCAAATGTTTCAAGGAGAACATAGGAGGTCTGGAGGGATGAGAATGTGTGGTTCAGTTTAGTCTATGGTACTTCACTAACACAAGTGTTACAAATGCTGCTCTGTGACACTGGTCCCAGAATGCAAACATAGTTTTCACCTGAAAGGAGGCTGTGCCTGTTTGTTATGGAGCAAATGTTTGCACACCAGTTGTCACTGAGATCCTCTGGTACCCTGAAAATCTTTCTAGATTACTGGATTTTCCCCAGGCAGGGAGGTGTAACATACCTCTTAATATATCCCTACACCGTGACTGCCAGCTGCATATAATATTTCCAAATGAATAAAATGGGAATTGCTGAAAACTACAAGAGGACAATCATCAAGAGATTCATAAAGTGTGGAACTTGTCAAAGTTGTGGATGCTAAAATTTTACAGGTATAAGGGGGGACATATATGATACATATATATATATAGATATAGATAGATAGATAGATAGATAGATATGACATATATGAGAGAGACTTTTTAAATACCCAGAAACCATGTTCAGGTCAGGAAACCCCTGAGCTAAATTTGTTTAAGGCTGGAGAAAATCATCTGTCTTGTCCCATTCTTCTGCTTTCCTAAGTATCCATTTATGGCCACTGAGGTTTTATTTGGTTGCATCATATTTGGGGGATGGTGTTCTCTTACAACAGTTTTTCCAATGACTGGGGTGAGGTGGTACAACTTTGGTATCCAGCAGTTTGTTTCTCCTGACCAATCACTCAGAGCTTCTCTAAGAGCCTTCACAATTTGTTTGCCTTGTGCCAGGTGAGAGGAAGCATTGGTCTGAACCAGTGACAGACACTCTCAGCTCTCAGCAGTGATATACTTTATGTTCATAGGGAGTTTGGTAACTGAAGCAGGTGGTTTCCCTTCAGAGTCTACTTGAAACATTCACATTTTGGTTCTCATGTGCTTCTGAGACTAGGAACAAACTAACAGTCCTTAATGGAAAGTGAGGATAGGATATGAAGCATAGGCTGCTTTTTAAGCTTAGACACATTCAAATCATACATTGAATGTTACAAAAAGCTACTTTGTGTGATTTGTGCAGTATTGTGTAATATAAGTTACATAAGTTGTGACACTTGCTACTTGATCAAGTGAGATTTCACAGCGTGCAAGAAGAGGTAGCATTGTTCTAGCAATTTTAACACACTTTTAACATTTTTACAATAGAAGACAGCTTTGTTGGCAGTGAGGTAGCAGTAATCTCACATTTAGTGGAAAACCAGATCCTTAAACATATTCCTGATAAAATTGTTGCAGAACCCGTATCAGTTCACTGCTTCATACTTCGCCTTATGAACATTTATATTAACACTTCTGAGGAAGTGGAACAAGAACCTGCATGAGTTACTAGGAATCCTAGGTACAGGGACAGAGGTGTGAGCATTCCTAGGAAAGGAAATGAGAAATTACACTCTAAAGACAGGAAATTATGAAAGAAAGTTGTGAAGAAGGAAAAATAGTAGAATTCCATAAAAAGTAAAACCTAGTTCTAAAACAGGAACAAACGTATTTATTTATAATCAATTAAGAGCATATATTAATAGTACCCTAAATTTTGAAGAAAAAGCCTCAATAAATGTGTCAAGTAAAGCATGTTTGACAGTGCCTCCCCAAAAGATCAGGAAGAGTTAAAACAAAACACATTCCAACTGCAATTTTTGTTTCTATTGGCTTGTACTTCTGTATAACGCAAAGGTGGTTTTGGGCCTGTGGCTCAGGGGATATTGCCTCAATGTGTTCAGACTGGTGTGCAGTGTGCTGGCTTGTAGCCATTGTTGTCTTTCCTTACTTAGCAGGAAGGAATGAAAGTCCCTTCCAGAAGGAAGCAAAATACAGCCATAGTAACTTCAGGCCTTTTGCACAAGAACCTTCTGAAATCAGAGCAAAAAAACTGGAATAACATTTCACCAACATACAAAGCTATGACAAAGAGAATCAAGGAAAAACTGGAAGAATTGCACAACATGTATACAATCAATTCAGGAAGCCCAAGGGTAAGTGATAAACAATAAAAACATTTCCCATCACTGACTAAAAATAAAATACACTGAAGCCGTTCCTGCTATAAAATGCTGGTTTACTCATTTTTTTACAGTAGAAGTTTTGAATATTTTAATAATTATGCATAGTAACAATCTGTGTTTAGAACAGCTTATACCTGTTATGACAGTGAATTTACCTTAATTTCTCCATAGGCAAAAGCAAGTAAAGATAAAATAATCATCTTACTTTTGGATAAAGAATACAAGACACTGTAAGTTGCAAAGTTGCAAGAGCAGTTGCAGGTGATCTGAGCCTTCTGTGATATTTAGAGCAGGTAGAGGTAGCTTAAGTACCCTGACTGAAAAAACCTTTCTGATGTGTGTAATTCCTTCTTCAGTATGGAATATATGTTCTGTCATTTGTTACATTTATTACAATTTGTTACAAATATGCAGAAAAATTACTGTAAATAGGGATTCAAAGGGAATGTCTAATTGTGTGCTGGATGTGAAATATGTTTGTATTGAACAGATGAGGTTTGGCGAGAATGTATACTTTGAAGATAATGGCTGCGTATTTCTTGCAAAAGCAGATCATGGTAAGGGATTTCTCTTCCTAATATGGTAGGATTCTTACAAAAGATCTACATGTATCACTTAGTGTTCTTTTCTTCCATTAATGCTTAACTTGCCTGTTTCTTAACTAAAAATACTTTTATACAATTCCATAATAGAGTAATAATTCTAGACTCCTGAATCTGAAAAGGTGAGGTGAAGAGAGTTAGTGAATCGTATATATTGATATGAAGGTAAGTTGCTGGAGAGGAACAAGAGAAGACACTTCAGAGCACTAACTTAACATTTTGACAAATGAAAAGAACATCCATGCTTTTTTATTTTAGAGGAGGGGGTAAAAGAATTTCTAATTTTATTTATTAGAAACAACTGTGCTTTAACTATCTGAGCTTTAAAATTCAGTATGTTTAGTAGAAGCCAAAACCTACGCTTTTGAAATATTTTTAGTAATAACTACAGGACTTTTTTCCTTGGAACTTGCATTTGCAAACATCTTTCAAGACAGGTATTTGGTGTTGATAATTCCAGTAGAATGTCTGTGAATGTTGGAGACAGATTTGTTAAATACAGACATTAAGAATCACCGTTCATTTTGACAGGGTCTTAATTACAGGATTTTTTGCTATCTCCTTTTTCTATGTAATAGCTGAAGGAAATGCTGAGATTTTATTCAGTGTTGAAGATTTTGGCTTTACTGATGCTTTCATTCAACGGATCAGAATTTCACCAGATCAGAGATACATGGCCATCAGCTTAAAAAGTGAAAATTCTGAAGAGGCAACCTGCATTATTATGAAACTTGGCAATCTTCCTGTTGTGGAAAAAGTAATTCCAAGCGTATTTAGCTTTGGTAAGTTGTTTATAAATGACCTGTGTATCACAGAGTCTTTCAACATAACATTTTTCTTAGTTTAAAGGTAATTTTTTTATTTTTTTTTTAAATGAAGGCAATATTTAATCCTTATAGATGTTGAATTGTTTCTTATGGTTTCTTTAATGCTGCACAATTACAGGTTATCTGATATGGATGAAAGGGACTGCTTCCTGGATACAACTTTTCCTTCATTGTAAAAGCATTTATACACATTACAGCAGTCAGGCATATAATTTTTTGTATTGATTCCACTAAGCTGTATTCAAAATATAGTGACATGACTGTTTTTGATATAAAAATCTTTTTGAGGGATATTCTAGTTGGTAAAACCTTACAGCTACTAAAGTCATTGGTAGCTGTAGATAGCTTTTGCTTGAAAAGTGTGGAAGTACTACCTACTAGTGAGTATTGGCTGGAATTTCAACTGGAATCCAGGATGTGGGTCACACTTCAGAGCCCAGTAAAATCAGCCAGGCCTTGAATCAATTCTTTCAGAATAGATTACAGAGCTTTACATTGCTGTTAAAAGAAGCAGAGGTAAATGGAAGTGAATGGGAAAACATTATTTTTTTTAATAGTATGTTAAAGAATTGTCCTAGTTTAGGGCAAATTAGGGAGGAAAACTCCAAATGGGAATTTCCCCAGGGAAATGCCCCCTCCCCACCAACTGGTCTGGGAAAGGGGAAAAAAAAAATTCCTTGGAGAGAAGTGGAAAAAGCTGTTTATTTAACAGAAATTGAATAATATTAAATAATAAAACCTCTTGCTGTTCAATGGGATGGCAAGTCTAGGAAGAAAAGTCCTTTTCACGTGGTGTAGCTCGGCTCGCTCAGACCCTTATCAGTCCTTTCGGCACTGGAAGTGCCGAGGCCCAGGCCCCGGTGGGCCACAGGCGTGAGCTCCCGGGGTTTGGCTGGGTGTTCAGTCCAGAGCAGGTTTGAACAGATCCAAGGAAAAAAAAAAAAACAAAGGTCCAGGGAACTCACCTGTCTCAGCTAGCTAAAACCTAACTAAAAGCCAGAGAGAAGCTCTGTCCCACTGTCCACCACAGTCCAGGAGCAGGATGCGGGGCAGTGAGTGTTTTTCCTCAACACAAATTGCGCGCTTCTTCTTCCCCCCTTTGCTCTCAGAGCGAGTCTTAAAGGTGCAGAACTTAATATATAACATAAACCAGACGACTGGGGATACCAGTATCATAAAGTCACCCCAGGACAAGAAGATAGCAAAAAGAGTATAATAGTATGTATACAGTGTTCCAGATCTCGTACTTTGGATAATATTGCTAAATGTCATCAAGTATAACTAGTGCAGTAAGCAGTTTGCCTGGGCAGAATAAAATAATAAAACTCTAGGTAAAACTTCCTTGTTAAAAAAATTATGAGTAGCAAGAATTTAGTGTTGTGTTTCCACACTGAAGATTACAATACCTGTTGAAAAATAAACATGCAAATTTGCCAATGACATTTTACACCATACTTGATTTGAACATCTATCTAGGTTGATCCAGAAGAATGAGTACAGTTAAGAGACCAATATCCTGTTGCCTAAATAGGTGTGACATAATAAGAGTAAAAAAGATGACTATCAGAATGGTAAATTCTGTAAAGTCAGGTGTGAGTGAGAAATAGCAGTAGTGTCCTGAAGCACGGAGATGTCTCAGTCATGCCTTGCAAAGTTATGTGCTTGTACTGAGTGATATAAAATAGCAGGGAGAGAGACAGAACTTCCTGAAAATTTATATCTTCATTTTTCTATAGACTAGGCTATAGAAAAACTTGGATTTCCCTTCTAAAAGCTTGTCTTCGTAGTGAATCCTCAGTTACCTGTGCACTTTGGAGCCACACTGCTGTTCAGAAAGCAAAATGTTTGTGTTATCTTGGTGTTGTGTTAATTCCCCAGGTTTTGTACTGAAAATCAGTATTTATGCATAAGACAGCATACAGAAGCTTTTAAAAGCACATGTGTTAAACATCGTTCTGTTGGCTGTAAGAGCAGCAGAGATGGCAGGAATGTGACTGGATCTGTGAGAATAACTTCAGAATAACAAGGTTCCTGTATTTATACCTTTCAATGTTGGTGAACACATACACAAGCATAGAAAACTGGAGAATTTTTATCTCAGCGGTACCCATGGGGCACATGCATCATCTCTTTTCTCTAAATGGCTTGTGTGCAGTCACATGTAACAGTGCAGAGCTTATGATGTCTTTATCATCTTGCTGACTCCATGTAAACCTCTTTTTCTCTAATGTTTTAAAAAGCCATGTCTCCTGTTTTCCTGTTACCTCCAGAACCCACATAGGGTCAAGAGTTTCCTATTACTGGGCCCTGCAACACTGACCTCTGCTTTTTTTGCTTTTTGCTTTTCTTTCAATACATTATGAGATTCTTGTTTCATGGTAGTCAGAGAAAACATGGAAAAACCTTTTGGCCCTTACCTCAGTTCTCACAGGATGTGGAAGTGCTGTCCTCAGTTCCACACCACCTGCAACCCATCTTTTTCAGCACTGGGACCAATGTCCATGGAACTCCCATCTTCTCTCACTAATACTATACACTGTTCTGAATTGATATGTGTCTGTATTTTTTTTCCAGAATGGGCTGCAAATGATGTTCTGTATTACACAACTCAGAAGAACCTTAAATGCCAGAATGTCTTCATGACCACATTCACTTACCAGAAACACACTAAGTTAGTTTATACAGAACAAGATGCAAGGTAATACATACCTAAAATATAACAAGTCCTTTACATATTTTAGAGTATTTTATATAACTGTTTATAACTCTTAAGGGAAACTGTTTTGGGAAACAAAGTGGTTTGGAAAACAAGGTGTTCCATATCATATCTCAAATAGTAAAATGCATTGTTGTGTTCTGCTGTCAGTAGTGCCTTATACAGCCTGAGAATGGGCTCCGTTCTCCTTTTGATATGTGATCAACAGAGATTTAACTTTCCTCTCTTACCTCAAGAGTTCAGCTGAGTTTATAAATGTCAAGGTCACTCTCAGGTCAGGCTGTCCTTTAATGAATGTGTGACAGTTTCATACAGGGTAAATCAGACCGTGGATTTCATTTTGTTTTCTCTGCTATTGATGTCTGATACATCTTTTTAAAAAAATACGTAAGTTCAGGCTAATCCTTGCTCTGGGTAATGGATGAGCAAAATCATTACAACATTCCAGGAGACGGAACTATTGTTGACTGAATACCCTCTCAATAACCTTTCTTTAAGCAGTGGTTTAGGAAGACATGAAGGCTCTTTGCTGAATTGAGCGTAGAACTAGCTTTTCGGCGTTGTAGCGCATGGTATATTTATACAGCATTCCATAAATATTTGTGATTATTCTTCATTCAAGTTACATATTCAGTAAAGAAATTCCAATTATACTTATAAGACAAATAAAGAAAATAAAGAAAAGAAACAAAAAACCCGCAGTGGAGATGGAATAAATAAGATCTTTTTTTTCCAGCTGCATTTGATGCATAGTTTTGGAAAATCAAGTTGTACTGACCTGGCACTTCCCCACAGGGAAACTGTTGGCATAATTCTGAAGGTCACAGTCATTACAGTAAATCTACTAGAAACTTACTCTAAAGGTTCAAGTGCTATTGCAGCTCATAGCTGAACTCCTTCATCGAAGATGGCAAGACATTCTTTTGTATAGCCACTGAGCAGTTCTGTTCTGCATCTCACTAGCTCTTCTAGTTGCAATCAAATTTTTTTAGAAGCTGAAAATTTCTTGACTTTTTTTTTTTTTAAAAAAGCTACAAAAATAAAAAAAAATGTAATATCAAGGTCACAATCCTTGGGGAGAAGTGTAACATGCATTTCAGCTCAACCCTCTTAGAGGCAGGATCAGGAAAGCTGGACTCTGTGAATCTCTACTGAATGTAGTGCTACATTGTTGCCAAATTCATGGGTATTAGTGGCAGGAGGCTGATTTTTCTTGCAGACTTTAGCTCCCCCTCTGTGCCTGTCCTCCTAAACATGTCAAGAGGGTGCAATTAGAAAAAACTATAGTACAAAAAAAATTCGAATCCTCCACCTGCAAATAATTAAAGGCACCGAAAATGCTATCTAAAGCATCCTTTTCTTCACCAAATACTCTGAATCCTAGAGAGATCATCATTGCAGTCATGTATCTGATCTGTGTGATGCAGATTATGGTACTCAACCCTGCATTTTCTTGATGGAATCTGGATCTTTGTGTTGGACAGTTTTGCTTTTAGACATCCAGACTTAAGGGTTCAAAATGGCAAAGAGACTGTTCTGATCCAAGATGTGACATTCCAGTTAATTAGGATGAATCACAGAAATTTGAATCTGAATTTCAGACTGAACTTCTCTACTATTAGCATCCAGCCACTGGCTGTCATTCTGCTTTCTATTTCTAGATTTTAGAGGGATTTAAAACCAGTAGGTAGTTCCTAGTTTCTTAGTTCCAAAACCAGTTCCTAGTTTCATATAGGTCTCTGTGCTTTTTTTCTTTTTAAATAGCACTTTTTTCCCATTTGCTTCAGACAGTTAGGTCAGTAACAATTGACGTTTTACCAATTTATTTTTTTAATAGCTCTTACTTTTGTTATTCCTGTTACCACATGATATCATTTATTATTTTAACTATCCATTACTACTTTTTTTCTTTTAATAGGGTTACAAGCTCAATTAAAAGTTCCACATTTTGCTTGAATTTTAAAGCCTGTATGCATCAGTAAGATTCCAGTCTAACTCAATGATGCAAAAACCTGGATTTAGTTGGGCAACAACTGAACTGCTTTCCTTGCAGATTTCAGGTTTCACACACAAGATTGAGGGGTTTTAAATCAATCCGAGGGTAAATGCAGCAGAAGTGGGTCTGGGAGTCAAGAAGCCTGAAATTTCTTCACTCTGCTATCAGGAATGCTGCTTCTTACCTTGCAGATGGAAGTCCATGATTCTGAAATAACTGATGTATTTTAAAATACTGATAAAATTTAAGCTTTTTCCTTTTTTTTTTTTAATGATTCCCTACAGATTCTTTGTAGACCTTTATTGCACAAAAGACAGGCGTTTTCTCACTATCAACAGCAACAGCAAGACAACCTCAGAAGTTTGGCTGGTTGACTGCAGACATCCCTTTGAGTCACCTGCTCTTGTACAAGCACGAACCACAGGGGTCATTTACTACATCGAGCACAGAAAGGACCAGTTGTACATTCTTACTACATATGGAGAACCTGCAGAATATAAGGCAATTTTGACTGATAATTACATTCATAGGATTAATTCAGATACCTATTGCAGGTCATATAGAAATAGTAAGGTTGGCTTTTAATTCTGTTAGTCACAGCTTACTGAAATAAATTGAGAGAGAGCTGCTTGGATTAAAAAGACTGATAGTGCTGCATGGAGTCTCACCTACAAGAGGCTAGTTTGATCCTAACTCCTTTGACAGGATCAAGAAATGACTGCTTCAACAGTCATTCTATCAAAACTTAAGCTGGTGATCTCAGTCTATGTAATCAAACACACCTACAATTTTTCTGGCCATGCTGAAAGCACTTACTGTATTATAATCTTCTGCAGAGTAATCTTTGAAACTTGGTCTTCTCCAAATGTTACTGCATTGTTCTTCCATTTTACCTAAGTAAAGGGAGTTTAAAAATCTTCAGTTTTAGATAGGCAAACACCCCAAATAAAAAAAAAAGTATTTTTTGGCAAAAAAAATGTTGTGTGAGATCACCTGTAAGTCTGTACCTCTCATTTGTAACTCTTACTACATTTTAGTAAGGTTGTTTGGATTTTTTTACAGTTGATGAAGGCACCAGTAACTTCAAGTGGCAAGGAGAACTGGCAGTTAGTTTATGCACTGGAAAAGAAAACCAAGCTAGTAGACTTTGAGATGTTCAGTGATGACTGTATTATGTTCCTGAAGACTGCTGGTCATCTTTACTTAAATGTGATTTCTTTTGTTTCATACTCAGTTCAGTCAATAAAGGTAAGTTTTAGCTTGGTTTAAGCAGTATAATATTTTTCCATTTTTTTTGTTTGTTTTGCTTTTTTTGGCATAACATAATGGAAGGAAAGATAAATTACAAATGTAAAATCAGTTTGGAAACTATTAATACTGACAATTTCATCATTATGACTAATTGTATTGCCTCTGGCTATTGTTAACATTTGATGTGGTGGCTTATTGCAGCATTTAGAAAGTTAAAGAGCAGTTATCCTGTGAGCCAGTTCTTTCTTCAACGGATTACAGTCAAGCTCTTCACAATACAGCTGATTTCTAATGTAAAACAGAACTTAGTTCCCTGAATGCTCTACTTAGTTTTACTGAGGCTATTTTTGATTGCACTCATTGGAGTAAGCAAGGCCCTTCCCATAGGAAAAATATTAATGTTCAGAAAACAAGTATGGACACGGTCCCATAATAAATGGGAAGACTTGATATTGCAGTACAATTGGTGCAAAGGATTTGCTTCCCTTCTCTAGTTGTTAAATACTTGTGGATTTAAACAAACAAAGTGACTCAAGCCAAATCCATGATTTCTGAAGACCATTCAGGTGAAATATTTAATTGATTTGTTTTCCTGAAAAATACAGTCTGAACAACTCACAAGTTTATTGCAACAAGCTGCCAATGCTGCACTCTATAAAACTGCTACAGAAAAAGGTTTTCAACCAAGTACGCTGTATGGTCTCCAAAATCTTCATTTTTAAAAATGGCTATAGTTTATTTATTCAGAAAGGGCCTGCAGTTACTCAGGAGAACTTGGACTTCTGCTGCCTTTTCAGAAGCCTCTAGCAACCTAACCCAAGTAAGTAATGGTCTGGCAGAGGGTTTGGCTATGTCCCTGCTGCTCTCAAAGAATGAATCTTGATTTCTTTCATTCTTAGCAGAGTTAAAAACCTTAAATATAATAACAGTAAGTGTCTGAGGGTGAATGTGCCAGGAAAAGGTTTTGTTCTTCACAATGGCTGGCACTAGGAACAAAGTTAAGAGGCAGGGGTTTTCAGTGGCTTAGCATTACTGAGCTACCTCAGTAAAAGCGTAATAGCTGACATGGACTTGGCTGTATAACATGTTGAAGTAGAACTGGAAATGCAAGGAAAAATAGGATGTAAAAAATAAAACTAATGCAGAATCATTTAAAATGTTTTCTTTTAAAAAAATCTGCACTAATACCCATATTAAACTGAAATTGAATTTATTTTTTGTTTTTATTTCATTGTCCACCTTTATCCAATGGCCTCAGGGGAAAAGTTCACTAGTCTTTCACTTTGGCAGTTTCATTACTGGATTTAAAGGAAATACAGATTGTTGTAAATACAAACTGAAGATAATTAGTTAATATCCAAAGTTTTTTTACTCTGAAGGACATAATAAGCAAAATTTACAGAAGCAGTGCAAGGGTCTCACTTGAAATGTCATGTTTTCTCAGCTACCTACATGGGCCTGTGAATTTGAATTGGAATCTCATCCAGAACATACCACCAGCACCTGCTATTTTCAGCTCTCCTCCCCAGTACACCCCCCTAAGCGTTTTGCATATTCATTTAAAGAAAATAATCTCATTGAACAAGCTGTGCAAGAGGTACCAATTATTAAGAATTGTCACACTAAACGTTTACTAGCTAAAAGCAAGGTAAGATTTTTCAGTGTTTTTCCCATTCCTTTTATTCTTACCTTCCTCCCCACCCATTTAAAGAAAGTGCACTTGGCAGGGAACAGAGATTAAAAAATGTAAAGAGCAGTTGGTGCTATAGTTACTAAACAGTGGGTGTTTTCTTCAGTGCTACAGAGAAGAAGAAAGTGTCGTGATTTTTTTTTTCCCATTAACCTGGGTATTCCAGAGGAGATAACAGCACACAATGAGTGAAGAATCTTAGTATAAGTGAGAATTGCTAGTTGATGTAATGATATTGTACTCCACATGATAAATGAAAACTGTGCCAGCTGTTGAAAAGAATACCCCACAACCAGCTGCATAGTTCAGATCAAGAAAGGAAAGTTTTAACAGCCTGAGTTTAAAAATTTGGAGATGTTAATAAAGAGTTTGTACTGTGCTAAGTGGTAAACTCTATTGTTAATAACATATATTCTTGGTGTTAAAGGGAGAAGGAAGACTTAGGTGCTTGGGTAGTTTAAAAACTCCTCAGGTGTTGCACTTAAATGAATTTATACTCTGCATCCATAAGCTCACACAGCAGAGGTTCAGTCTCAGGCTTTATTTTTCAAGAGTGCTTTGTACACTCTAAGTGAAAAAAAATTACTGTAATCAAAAAAACCCACATTTTAAAATAAATAATTGAAGTTTTCATTGCCATGTGTCATTGAGATTTTTGCAATGTCCCTTATTGTAAAACTACTCCCTCTTTTCCAGGATGAAACTTTGGTGCCAATTACAGTTTTTCATAATAAGAATTCTAAAGAACTGCACAGGAGACCACTTCTAGTTCATGTATATGGAGCTTATGGCATAGATTTGAACATGAGCTTTAAAGAAGAGAAGCTGATGTTAATTGAAGAGGGTTGGATATTAGCATATTGCCATGTTAGGTAAGTCAAATATAAAATGGAAATAAAATTTTGTTTTGCAGGATACACAGATATTTGTTCACGTACAACTGAAGATGTACCAAAATAATTTTTTTCATGTATCTATACCTAATTATTCATCTCTTCTTAGATTTTTTTATTTAAGTAGTTTTTGAATTTACCTCAGGGGAAAAAAAGCCACAAGAGCACACTACATTTTTGGTTTCTTAAATCTACATGATGGCTGTATGTAACATTTAATCTTTTCAAGTCTCATTAATTCTTGTCTCATCTTTGCTCAAGAAAAATGTCAGTTACATGCTCAAATTGCCATGACATGTTATCTCCCTCTCCTTCTGAGAACATTATATGCTAATCCTTAGTATGTGTCTTCTGAAGGCCATTTACATTCCACAACCACAACTAAGCATTTATCCTGCAACCCTTGTTCTTTTATTGGCTAAGTCCTCTGTCTCCAGTTTAGCTACCAATCTACCAGTTTTATAAAACTGCAATGTACAATAGGCTTCAAATTTTTCTCAGTAGCTAAGGAAGATAACAAAAGAATCACTTTAGGGACAGGAGGAATGAGTAACTGTTGGAAATACCAGACCCAAAACAAATTCAGCAAATATATTCAATCTGCTGTACTTGGTGGCAAGCATTGAACTCTTCCTCCTCACACCCCACTAAGTATCTTAAGATGCAGGTCAGTCCTACATGAAGATGGATTTGTCATCCAAAGATGGCAGGCTAATCAAATAATCCATTTTAAACTTGAAACCAGAAGAGGAAGTTTCAGGTGGCTTAGAACAAAAATTGTGGTTGCATAGAAAGAAGTATATATTATTTTTATAATTCTGTATTACAAAATGTAACATTTCAAGTAGCATTTGAAATTCACAAGTTAGGGGGGAGAAAAATCCCAAACCCTGCTTTCTAACAGTCTCAGAATTTCAGCTAATCAGAAGACAAATCTCTAGAGTCTGGTGTGGTGCTCAGAAATACTATTCTACTATTTTTAATAAGTAATAGTGTTAGTCATGTAATATTGGTAACATTTTCAGTATTTTTATAGTTTCCTGTATAAAAACATAATATTATCTAATTTTATTGCCTACAATGAAAATGTGATTTCTTAGAGTGTTGCTTCTCCTGTGCATTCCAGGACACAAGCACATGAGTGCAGAGAGTGCCCTCTCTACAGTTAGTATTTTCACCAATCATCACAAATGGATTTATTTTGCCTTCATGTTGTCTCTTTTAGCCATAAAGAAGGAAAAAATAGAGAACAGTTAATTGGAAAAGCAAAATATGATGTGTAACTCTGTAGCTGCTGCTGTTCTTTAATTACCTGAAGGTACACCATATAATGTTTTCTGAAGAGACTCCAACTTGAATTGCATTAAATTTCAGGGGTGGAGGAGAGCAGGGCCTTAGCTGGCACAGAGATGGATGTCAGCATAATAAACTCAAAGGTGTCCATGACCTCAGGGCTTGCATCATGCTGCTGCATCAGCTGGGATTTTCTCAGCCCAAACACACAGCACTGGCAGCTGCCAGTGCTGGGGGAGTTCTCGCAGGAGCCCTGTGCAACACTGATCCAGCACTGATCAGAGCCATGGTTTTACAGGTGAGCTGCTGCAGACTTTTTATGGATTATAACATTAAACTGTATTATCTGTGTTATTGTACCACTTTCAGAATTGGAAATATTCCAGTTCAAAGCTCACTCTCCTCATTTGTTTGAGAACACCTTGACTCAAGGTCCACTGTCCTATTTGCCAACTTTTCTTTTTTTAATGACTTCCTAAGGCTCCTTTCATAGATGTTCTAAATACAATGATGAAAACCCATCTCCCACTGACAATTGAGGAACAAGAAGAATGGGGAAATCCATTAGAAGATGAAAAATGTATGAAGTATATCAAAAGCTATTGCCCATACCAGAATATTAAGCCACAGGTAAAACTATGCTATCTGTGCAAAATACTACAGGCATAAAGTGTAGTGGTTTATAAGAAAACCAAAAGTAGATCACTGAAATTTTAAAAAAAAAACCTCCAATATAAATTATTTCAGTAATAATCTTAGCAATAGTTGGAGTCACAAGTGACTACTGATATTAACCCAATGCCTTCTAAACGATACAGATTTCTAAACTTGCTTGTGTTCTAGGACTTTCAGGAAGTAATAGATATTGCTAGATATTACTTTGACTTGCTATTGTATAGCAAGTCTCAACATGCAAAATGCTTTCTTTTGTGGGGGAATTTTGGCATTCTGCTGTGTTTTGCTGATTTTTTGCAGACACAGGAGGAAGGTATTTTCCACTGATTTAATACCTTTCTAGAGATATTAAAATAAACATTGAAAGGGAGGAGGACCTATAGCATTGACATTGCATCTCAAGGAAAATCTCTCTCTTTTTGACAGTGTGTTAGCTGTGCTGCACAGCTAAATTAAGTAAAAATTTTACTATTTAAAAAACAACTTCTGTGCAGGAAAATAGCAAAAATAAACCTCAAATATTGTTCTAAGGTAAACCATTCCATGAATATTACTCCTTTTTTTCTTTTTTTGCAATCATCAGCAAGCAGACAGGTATCAGACCTTTACCAGTGCAGAGGGGACGTTTCTATGACCTTTTGCAAGTAGATTATGCCCTACTATGAAGTCATTTTTCAGACCGAAATACTTTTTGCAGTTAGAGTGACAAAACTCATAGAAAACACTAAGTAATTATGGAATAGATGAGTCTTTAAATAAATCCTAACAAGTTGTACAGTAAGAGAAAAATGTGTTACTCTATGATAAAGACCACTTGTCAGGTGTTTAACTGGCTTTGGTTTTTAATCTCAGTGCTATCCATCAGTTTTTATCACGGCATATGAAAACGATGAGCGAATACCACTAACAGGAATTCTACAGTATGTTCAGAAACTCAGGAAGGCTGCACTAGATCATGCCAGCAGAGCAAGAAAGAAAGGTAAGGATAAGAATATCATAGATAAATGAAGTAAACTGAACCGAAGTCTTAACAGTCATGTAATTAAAGACCATAGAGATTGATTTCTCCTTAAATTAATTCAAACACAATCCCATATCACCAGCTCCACAGCAGACTCAGGACACTCTCTGAGATGGAAAAACATAAAGATTGGGAGCCTGTGACTGGGGCTCACTCTTTCCTTGGCCTCCCCATGGGTCAACTGTTAGACAGTGCAAAGTGAGCCCACTCTGTCAGTCTAGCTGCTGACAGGGCCAAGCTGCAGTTCTCAGCAACCCTTGGAGAAAAATCCTATTTTTGCTGCTATACAAAAACCTGCTTTTCTCGTTTTGCTAAAGCTGCAGGTCCTTAGTCCAAGCTAGAGTGATAACAAGACCAAGACACAGGTGTTTTTATACCTGAAACTTAACCCTAGATTTGGGAATTTCCAGCAAAAGGTACATTCAAGCCTGACGCTTTTAATCTACCATCCAATCTAGGGAGAGGCTTTTACCATCATTACCAAAAGAGATCTTGAATAACCTTTTCTACATTTCATGATACCCTATCTCTGAGCAGCACAACTGCAGTGGCTGAGAAATTGCAGCAGGTGCTGTGGTTGCTGTTGAGCTCTTTGTGCAGGAAGAAAAGAGTATGTCTTAAAAAAAATTAAATTTTTTTACATGTGATCATGTAAATTTTTAAAGACTCAAAGAGAACAAACACACTAAAGTAGATGAATATTTTCCACATATGCAGTTATTAGAAATACAAATAATTCATTCAGAAAGCCCCTCTACAACGCTCATTTTCTTAAGGAATAACAGAAATTCTATCAGGACAAGAAGGCAGAATTAGCTATCCTTAAACAATTCACATACTCAATTTTTTCGTTGTTCATTCAATGTAAAGTGACCACCAGCTTCACTGTTCCAGGAAACTGGATTCCTAATATCATCCTAGATGTCCAGGCAAATGGCAGTCATTGTGATTCATCCTGGGAGCACTCACTGAATGAGGTATGGTCCCTTTATGGCACAGCTCCATAGCATGTTGCGGGATGTGTCCCCTCAAGGGACACTTCAGCCTCAGTAGTTGGTCAGTCATTGAATGTATGTTTAAACTATAAAGAAAAACTGCTAAAGCAACTGCTGATTTTACACATGTATAAATATATATAAATATATATATGTAAAAACCCAGCAATCTTTGCATATAATGATATGTATTTTTATACATATATATATATACACACTTGTGCAGATATAAAAAAGACAGTGACAGAGCCAGATCATTGAAATAGTCTTAAAATAGTGTTCAATTCCCACTGTAATGTGCTAAGGGCTTTGAATGAAAGGTTCCAAGTTGTGCAAAACATTGTTCCAGCAGGAAGTCTTGCTCTGTAGAGTATTAAGTGCTTAAAACTGTCACACTATTTACTCCCATCTTCTTCATGAGTAAAACATACATGATAGGTTGGACTGTTACATTTTGAAATGCATGATCTGTGCTATCAAAGCTATTATAATTAGCTTTCAATATTTTGCACTTTATACAAGCATGCTTGTTAAAAGCAAAATACCGCCAAGACCTGACATATTTTTACTGATGTCTCAGATTGTCACAGTTTGATACAAATTTTATTACTCTTAATTTTAACAAATCATACAAAATGTTAATTTGGTGGTGGTGGCAGTTATTCCCAAGATGAACTCTTTCAGGAAAAGGTACATGCTGTCTTAAGGAAAGATATTTCTTAGCATTAATATAGGAAAGGAAGATGACTAGAATAGCTGCACAAGAGCCTGAAAGTTTATAGTGCAAAGAACTTTGTAATAAAATACTTTCATTATTTTAGGTTGCAAGACACCTTGCTTTTCTGAATAGAGAACTTGAAGAAGTGTCTTATCCCCAACATCACAGCAAATTCTGCAAATAACTCCTAAACACACTGAGCACCTGAAAAACTTTGGGTCAGATTTGGATTTGTATGGAAAGCAAACACCTTCTCCAGAGAATCTCTACTCTCAGATCCCTGCCTTATGGGCACAAGCACAGAAAGCTGGGTGTGGCATTGCCTTACAAAAATACAGACCAAGAACTGGATTTCTGCCCTGCCAGGCTGTGGAAAAGCAGCTGCCAGCAGAAATGAGTTTGTCCAGCAGCTCTGTTCATGTGAGCCAGCAAAGCAGCGTTACATGAACGGAGCTGGAGCACAACAGTGGGCAGGTAAAGCCTCACAGGAGAGCCAAAGGCACTTGGCACAGGTGGCCTTCCTGTCCAAGGCATCTGTTGCAAGGCTATTATCTTGCACAAGGCAGTAGAACTCCTCTGAAGCATCTGATATTGAAGTCTCACTACTTCCAGAACTAATTCACATACATAGGTGATGGTGATTGCTGCCCTCTCTGTTTGCACAGCAGCCATGGTTGCTGTTGGATGTGGTGGGATTGACCAAACTGCAAAGAAAAGCAATCTCAGCAGAACTCTGATGTGAATACATTAAAAAATCTTGCAGTTACGTTACCTAGCATGGTAATCTTAAGAAGGTGGTGCCAGAGTCTCTCAGGGGTACAAGATCAATGTGTCAGAAGATGCCAGAGTATCTCCAGAGGATGAAACTAAAAGAATGCCCCAACTAAAGCAGCCCAATTCATAGCTTAGCTGCCCTCTGAGCAAGGCACAAACCTGCTGTGCATTGCTTGTTAAAGAGATGTGTGGTGCACACCTAGGGCCACATCAACCACTGCAGGTACAGCAAATGGAAATCAGAGCACATGTACAAGTGTGACATTTGGTAGGGTTGGTTCAGCTGCTTCCTCTGAACTAAAGGACACACCCTTCACCTCAGCCTTAGGGCAGGAAAAGAAATAAGAGAATGCAAACATATTCTGACTTAACAGGGAGGGGAGAATCAACTGGAAATGCAGTTATGAGTGTGGAATTAGATATTAGCTATATTTTGTTCTTACAAACTTTGAGGAAAATCAGAGTTGTTAGATTTGAGAGAAGAGGTAAAACATCACAATAATATACACTAGTCTTGCTTATGTTCACCTGTTTTAGCAAATATAGGGCCACCCCTCTGGAATGAGTTTTACAAATCTGCATACTTCTAAATAGTTACAGTAAACTGCCAAAGGCTTGGGATTCCACAGGAGCACTTACCAGCAACCTCCAGGATCAGCACCCAGAAAGCAACTGTTTCCTCTCCTCCCAAAAATACATGCTTAAACAGATTTTTAGAACAGGTTTACTTTTCTTCTCCACAGACCCTAAGGGGGAGTTTATACCATTCTTTTTCCTTTTCATCACAAATACTGATACAAGACAATTATCTATCTGATTTTTTGAGGACATTTATTTTGTACACAAAATTTTAAAAGCCAAGGAAAAATGAGTATTTTTAGCATTTCCCAGAAACTAATATCTTCTAAATTAACATTAAAGCATAGGTATTCTACTCCTCTACTTAACAGTTCATGTAGAGTAAATTGAGGACCTTGGAATAACAAGCTTTTTCTGCCACAAAACACTTCCCTTGAAAAGCTTCCATAGTATGAACAGGCTTTGCTGTTTTATATTCAAGGACCAGGCCTTCTCCCATTTCAGTTTTAATTAGTTTGGTATTGACCACTTTACCAGCATTGCTAAAATGAGTACTGAGTCTTATTACAGCTTCAGAGGGAAGGTTGGGAGCTATGGCCCTCAGGTCTATTGTCATCTCCTGGCCAAAGTTGAGCACCATCATGAAGACTCTGTCTAACCCATCCAGCTCCCTCACAAACACAAACACGTTACTGTCATTCCAGATGTAGCACATCCACCCTCGATTCATGGGGAGCTCATTGTTACGCAGCGAAGTCAGTGCTCTGTACAAACTCAGGGTCGAGTTGGACCAGGTGCTCTGGATCTGCAACAGCACCAAAAGGGTCAGTTCTTGGCACCTCAGGGAAGAAATACAGCTTCCCTCTCACACCCACTCAGGCTGCTAAGAACACACCTATCAGAATTCTGTGCTGACAATTATCCCCTTCAAATCTGTCTACAAATTTCACTGAAAAACTGCTTTTTCTCATGCACTTCCTTGGCACGTGTGGAGTGGCAGACACAGAGTTCATTAAGCATAACAGTTCCCCAGCAGTAGTGCAATTGCTTCCTCCCACAGCTTCCTTTCAGTACTGTTGATTCAGGAGAAACCCACAGCCATTCAAACCTTGACACTGAATCTTTTTCATTGAGTCCAGTCTACTGCAGTCACAGGGTTTATTTCATGTTTTATATTTCTGCTATCTTAGATTTATTTTTTTTTCCTGCCTTCAATTTTGGTCAGCACTGTAAGTCAGCAAAATCTGTTTGACTCACTGCTCTACATATGTTAGAGTTGGTCTATGTCAAGTTCTTGTTACAAAGCCAGTGCTTTCTATAGCAATAGAAATGGGGAAAAAGAGATCAGTTTTCAATTTAATATCAAAAGGATTAAAAGGACATTAAAGAGCCAAATTGCCCCATCGACATCATAATTGTAGCTGCTATGCTTTAATGAATATAGATGAAGTAGGCTCCTTATTGTGCAAGGATTTCCTTTTCTAATAAAACTCATGAGGATTCATTGCTTTTTTCCCTTGAGTTTGTTCCTGCTGCCAATGCTCACTACTAAAAGGAAACCAGAGCAAATAAGATACATTAAAATATTTTTACACCATTCATTTGTCACACATGTAGATACCTACTTCCACATTTACACTTTGGTAGTTGGAGTTAACAGGTAACCAGCTGCTGTTGCCTTCTGTAAAACCAGCATTAACTTTTCCATCCCATTGCATGGGGGATTTCTCTGGGAGGGTTGCCTAGAAAATAAAGTGATGATTACCATATTAAAAATTATTCTTTGAATAACATGTTCTCACATCTCCCAAATTATCCTCCTTTCAGTATTGCTTTCTTTGGTTTAAGTTAAAATTAATTGAGGATGCAATTGTGGTCCAAATCTAAGGAGATTCTAAGATAGTTCCTGAAATGGAGGGGAGGGGATCATCTCAGATACAGCATTGCTGGGTAAAACGTGGAATTCCCAAATAACTCTTACTAGAGTTGTCGTCCTTTGCAACAGATGGTTGGATAAAAGTTTACTGATGACAGCCAGGATATTCTGTTAAATATCTAGACATGCAGAGAGTGAATATGTGAGGTAATGAGTTCTTAGAAAAGATGTCATTAAAATAACAGTAAACAACAGGTAACTGCTGTTCAGTGTCTGTTCTTTTGTAAGTATTACACTTTTCACCCCAGAACTCTTCAAGCTTGTATTTGCAAGGGGTACAATTTTGACAGGACTGTTTGTGTTAGAAAGGTAAAATTATTACTTCCAAGTGCAAAACTATTGAAAACCAGCTTTTATCTGATTAAAAAGTGTAGATGTAAAAAAAGTCTGAAGTTCTCATTTTGAAGAATTCAGAAAAATTCTGAAAAAGCTTCCTCATTGTTACTGAAGAGCTGCCAAAAGATCTGACACTTAAATTTAATGATATAAGAGGGCATAAAATATTTTGCACATACTTTGAGTGTTTGTTTTCCATGAAAACTGTTTTTCATATAAAGGACACTTTTCAATACAATCTGTCAGAGCAGCAGCCTAACAAAAGAAATTGTCACTTTGCTTTGTGACATTATAAATAATGGGTTTCTCCTTTTTAGCATATTCTGAAAAGCAGGGGAAAAAAATCCTAAGTCTTCAACACTGTTAACACTGCCTCTCATCTTTACCTCTTTCAGTGTCTCCTGAAGTGTTTGAAATGCTGGGTCTAAAGCCTATATCATCCTGAACAAATACTCTCCATCTTCCTAAGACACCCATTAATCAGAGAACCTTCCTCTCCAGACTGAGTGAAGGGTGGGTTTGCATTTGTTCCAAAGCCCTGAGCCACAGGGTAGCCACTAAAAGAGAGTGAACCCTGAGGAGCTCAGAGTGAGCCACTTTTCTTAAGAGAATCACTCTATCAGCAGTAATCAGCAGCAGCAAGAAAATGCAGGAGATACTTTGACCTAGGGGTTTCTCAGAGGAAATGAGATTTCCTTTTAAATCAGAGAATCATTTCCTCACATCTGAATCAGACAAATCTGGAGATGATCCTGTGCTTCAAGTACCTCTTTCCCTTTGATACAAAGCTAGTCAATGCCATTTCTAACATTGCCAGAGGCTGCCTCATTCCCTAACAGAGCCTTTCCACAGGGAAAGCAACATCTGCCACAGGACCATGTTCATATGGTACTCAAATATGGTCAGGAGAGGCAGAGATGAGCCATTCCCTTTTGGGACAGACTATGCATGATGACCAAAAGCCATTTCTGCTTGCCACCAGGCAGCCTCCCCTTCATGCCAATCCCTTTTTCTGAGCTTGGGCACACTCATGACAGCCATGGACAGAATCAGAACCATGATTTCCTTTAAATAACAGCCAGGAAATAATGAACTCTGACATAATGATGAGGGCACTTTCATGGGAGGAAGGAGACGGCTCAGTTCCTCTTCCCTCATATATCTGCAGCACACTTCTCCTAACCCCTGGCCAGACCCAGTGTTGGCACTCGCTGTCCTTTCTGGTGAAGAAACACTGCTGGAAACCATGCAAGACTGATCCAGAGAAAGACAGAAATCAGCATCCATAACTGAAGTCTACCAGTTCAGACACACATCAAGGCCTTGTTTCTGGTTTCTCGCCTGGCCAATTCCACATGCTGTACAGAGGTTTGCCATGAAGGACACAGAAAACTATTTAAACAGTGAGAAAGACTGGGTTTGGTTAACAAAACAAAAGTTCTTGTGTTTTTGAATGTTCTCTTACTTGGAATTAAACATCAAGAGGACCAGAGTTTACATGCTTTTCACTTACATTTTCTGATGCAATGTTCTCCATGCCTATTTCTTCACCATAGTAAGTTACAGGAGTGCCAGGGAGGGTTAAAAGCAGCATGTTCATGACATTGATGTACTCCTTCCCAATCCAAGTTGAAAGCCGAGCAGCGTTAGGGCTTCCAACCTGAAGAAAACATCATTCTGTTAAACAAACATTATAAAATTTCATGCATATGTGAAATTGATTAACTAATTTAATAGGACAGTAAATGTTTTGGGGTTTTATCTTTCCCTTCCAGGGCTGTGAGGTCCATTATCTTTATCTTGATGCCATTACAAACTTCTGTCCCAAAAAATTTAACACACAGAAGTCCTGCCAGCAGCATATCAGGCAGAAGTGAGGAAGAGATGACAACAACTGTCCCTGCTTACAGTTCTCTGCTATTTTCTCTGCTGTGTGAGGACTGCTCTGCTTGCTTTGAAAAGATCCTTTGCACATCCCAAATATGCTTCCTAGGAAAAAGAGGAGCAATGTGTTAACTGCCATCTACTGCCTGCTCTGCTCTGTCCTGGTTCCAGAATCCATTGCAGTGAGTCAGTTTATGGTCGTAAGATAATTATCCCAATTCCATTCTCACTGGTGATTTAGCCATTGAAGCCACTGAGGGAGAGACATGATCATAAATTCCTTTCTGTCATCTTTGCATGGGGAGTGGAACTGTTATTGAAAGCTCTCCAGCAGGACAGCCGGACAGTGCCAAATACTCCAACTACAGCAGCTGAGAGTTTTCACAAGGACAGCAACTGTAGCTCAGCTGCAGGCCCAGGCTGCTGCTGATCCCACTGAAATCAATATCTTTGTGTGTGTGGTTTCTGTCACCTACAGGAACAGGCCCTTCCTATGACAGCTCGCCTAGAACTCTTACTGCCCAGTTTGGCCATTTTCCTGCAGGCATGTTTTTCATCCATGAGTCGACAGCTTCAAAAATACTGTTGCCCGACAGATTTTTCATGTTAATTAGGTTGAAATTGAAGGGAAAATCTGCTTCTTGGATAAAAGTCGTTCCATAATACATCATTGTTGCTCCAATGTCTTCCTTTTCATCATCATCAGAACCCATAAATCTAAAAGAAGTACACAAATAGTTTTTTTGGCTTCTTTTTGGTTACACAGAACAGAATAAAGCTAGAAATGGTTGGACACAGAGCACTAAGAATTAGGTTCATTTCCCCCTCCCCATCAAAAAAAGATTAATATTAAAAATAATATTAATATTTTAAAAAAATTAAAAAGAGAAAATATTTTGTAAGGCAGATAAAGAATAAAGGAGAAATACTTCTTGAAAATTGCTGGAGAAAAATCTACAAGAGTCAACACAAGGCTGAAGTATCTGACTGAAGTTTTATCTTTCTGAATCCATGCCCACACACTCCATTCCAGAAATTTCCATGCTTTCCTTCACAGAAGAGGACCTGGGGGTCCCCCAGGTTGACCATGAGCCATCAATGTGCCCTTGCAGGTGGCTCATGGCATCCTGGGCTGCATTAGGAGGAGTGCTGCCAGGAGTGAGGGAGGTAATCCCCATTAGGCTGCTACTAAGGCCATTAGGGACTGAAACGTCTCCCAGGAGGAAAGGCTGCAAGGTGGGCTGTTTAGCCTGGGGATGGGAAGCCTCAGGGGGATCTCATCCATGTATGGAAGGGAAGGCGCAAAGGTGACAGAGCCAGGCTCTCTTCAGTGGTGCCCAGTGCCGGGGCCAGAGGCAATGGGCACAAACTGAAACACAGGAAAGGTCTTTCCCAATCAACATCAGGAAACTTCCACCAGTCAGGGTGACTGAGCCCTGGCACTGGTTTTCCAGGGAGGTTGTAGAGTCTCCATTACTGGAAATGTTCAAAAGCCACCTGGACAAGTTCCTGGGCAACTGGCTCCAGATGGCCCTAAAAAGCAGGAGGTTTGGACCAGAGAACTTCAGGAGGTCCCTTCCAAATTCAACCATTCTGTGATTTTAACACTCCCTGACTGTGTGTCTCACTCTAACTGCACTATTCAAAATAAAGAATAAATCAGGCACAGGCTTGATAAATTAGTATCTCTGTGATTAGAATGGTTTCCTTTTCTGCTTAGCTTTATATAATCCATAGATGGAGCAGAGCTAACAGCCAATTCCTTTCTGCATAGTCTCGGGAAGAGACAGTATAGCCTATGTACTACTACCTGCACCAGAGGATTTGCATTTCTGTGGTATATTATGTTATTAAAAAACATTTTATTGCTAGCAAGAGAGATATTAATATCAGAAAAAACTGGCCAGCTGTGCTGGTTACCTGTATCTGCCAGGCTCTCTGCTGAACTCATTCATGGTGTGACGGAAGCTGCGGATGATGTCATGCAAACCAACCTGCGTGGTGGTGTAGTCATGGTAGAGCTGGGAATAGGCTGTGATACTTTCCTTAAAGCAGGGTATAGTACTTCACATTAGTTCACCAATGTTTTAGGTTTCCAAATTCTCCAAATTCTTCCCATTCTTTCCTGAGACAATGCACCAGTTCATGAATTTCTACTGAAATGAGTTCAGCATGCTAATACTAACAGCATAGTGCTGAACTGCACTTGAGGAACTCTGGAGCAGCAGAGGACTGATAATTTTGGATCCCATCCTTCAGCAAGGAAAGCCCACCCACAGCACTAACCAAGAGAGTCCATCTAGAGCAGCAAGCAGAGCAGGTGCTGTGCCTCAGACTAGGCTGGAAAGATGGGCAGATGCCTTGATACAATAACACACCACCACCATGTTGGAGCTGGCCAGCTGTCTGTGACCCCCAGCTCCACAGGAGAATAGTGTCTTAGTGCTGGCACTACCTGGGAACATCACCAGGTTCACTATCAGAGCAAAAGTAACATAAAAACAGTGAATGTGTCTGGTCACCTCTCATTGTGACACATGGCATACACCAGTGTTTTTTAGTTATGCTCCAGTTCTTACCAGGGCTTCTTTGTGCAGAGTGCCCAGGACCCACCCACCTTCCAAGGCTGTCCTGATTTTCCTATAGCCACAATTAAGACCCAAAAGAGTCAAACCAGGCATTCTTGTCTCCATAGGAAATGCAGGAAAGAAAGCAAAGACAGAACTTACTCCCTTCTGAGGCTTGTCCACTCGAGGCTCATCTCGGAGATGTGTTGCTTCTAAGAGAAATTTAACGGCACCAAAACTAAACCCATCCACTCCTTTGCCAAGCCAAAATTTTATAATATCCTGGATAAAAGTAAAAATTGAAAAGTCTGAGCAAGCCCATCCCATTTAAAATAGTATACTCTTAAAAAGAAAACAAAACTTGTAAGGAGGTGTTAATACATAACAATTCATTTTTTGATTTTAGCTTCTAGAAAAATTTGAAGTACAAGTTAATCATGTTGATCTAAGGTCAAATCAATAGCTAAATAAAGTATGTCTTACTATTTCATTCATACAAAAAAGAAAAAGATTGGTCTCTAACTTCTCCCATAATTCAGGAGATCAAAGCCAGGGCATGACTCACTAAAAGCAGTGTCTAATCCATCCATCAACACAGTTGGGCTCATACTAAGTGATGCTGTTGATGAATGCACTCATCATGGCTGCACATTGATTGAAATATGCAGGAATATGTTGTTCTGCACAAACCTTGTGCCACTAATTTTCATTTACACAATAGAGCTCTTAAAACATTTCTTCTCTCTTATTTGACTGATGTAATTATTTTATTTTCAGACCTATTTGTTGATTTGCAGGAACACGAGAAATTATAATCCAACAATTACAAATTCTATTGATTTGAAGTTTCACTATCAAATTCCAATATTAATCACTATTATTAAAATTATATCGTACTTCACTAACTATATTACTACAGTTTTAGTTGCCGTAGTTTTAACAAAAAAGTCCGAAGTTCAGTTCCTCTTGAGTGGTTTCTGCAAATGTCCTTTTAGTTATGATACTTGTCTTCACCTGAGGAAAAAAACCTTTTTTCATGTTCTTTTAGAAGATGTCTATTGACCTGCCTTTTTAAAACATATGACGTACACTTGTCTGAACAGGCTGGAGTAGAATTAATCCTCACACAAGCTGTACAGGTTTTAGTCTGGCAAATAAAGACTGCCTCACTGAGCTGCACTTTCTCCTAGCGCCATTCTGAAAGCAGCAGCTCTCATTATGGTGTCTGTCCAATACTGAATCTACCCAAAAATGTTCATGCTTATACCTGTGCTCAGCACAAAAGCAAATCCGGGTATCAGCACTGCCAACATCAAGCATTGACATGGTTCTCACTGGCACCAATCTACATCATTTACACATGAAAACCACAACATGCTGGTTGCTGAGTCTGGCTATTCTTAGGTGCCCTTGTGCTGCTGAACCAAAGACTTTAGCTTCTCTGCAAATAGTCCATTTGCTTCCTGCTCAGTCCTCCTAATCTTCTGGAACAGGATTTTGAATTAAAATACTAGACAAAAATTAATCTTTAACATCATGTTTATACACATTTACCAAAGGTTGGTGTTACCAAGACAAACTTCCCAGCTTTCAAGTTTTTTGAGGTACTGGAGTTTCAATAATCCAGGTACCATTATAAAAAGTAATTAGCCGGAATCGTTAAAAAGCATGTGCAGTGCTATTGGTGGGGGGAGGTGGGGGGAGGTGGGGGGAGGAAATTTGCAAATGGCAAGATGTGGCATTAAGGGAAGTACAAAGACACAGGGAGATTACTGGGAGTGTTCTTCAAGGATCAGTCTCAAAAGCAGTCTCATTGTGTGCTTGAGTTAAAAGGTATGGCCAGAAGTGTTTTGTTTGCAGTACCTATGTGGTGGGGGGAGAGGCCCCAGAGAGACCATCCTAGGAGGACTGGGCAGCAATGAAGACCAGCACCAAAGAAACGCAGCACAATTCAAAAGTACAAAGTGGCAAACGCTTAAGGATTCAATCAAACAAATTAAGTAGCTGTACTACCTGCTGAGGGATAACTAATGAAAGGGGTAAAAAGAAGCAGCTGTTGTCAGGCTCCCCATATTCAGGCCTACATCCCCATATTGTAATGAATTCAACATTCTGCATTCCTCGGTCTGCTAGGAAACAGTGCAAGCAGTACCATCACCACCAGTCTCGCTGTGAAAACACTAATTTTCTCCCTGGAAAGTCATCAGACATGCAGGCAGATCGAAACTCACTATCTCCCCCTTATCCACAAGCCCAGGGATTCCTTGTAATTCAAATCAGCATTGCCTCTGCTTTCCCGAAAACGCAAACATCTCTTCGCTAAACAAGGTGCCATCCCTCCATTTGACTGGGCAATTAACAACTCTTTGTATCAACAGAGATAAAAACTTCTCTGCACTTGAGTAAATCAGTTCTGCACAGGCTTCAGTGCACGAGCTGCTCTGCTGTTGGCTCAGCAGCAGTCGGTTTCATGCTTACATGGATTTCTTGTTGGACAGCAGGGTTGCGAAAATTCAGGTCTGGCTGTTCCTTCCCAAACTGATGGAAATAACATTGCTTTCTCACATCGTCAAACTGCCAGCTGGAATCCCCAAAGACACTCACCTGCTCAGCCAAGGGAGAGAGACAGTCAGAGCTACTAACTTAATAAATATTTCCTCCTATGCATACATTAAAATGTGGGGCATTACAAGAATAAAATAAAGCACAAAATGCCTAATCAGTGGACTACATTTTGAACAGATTTTGGTATCTATGATTTTAATTTCTTTTTGCCACTAGTTGCTCTCCCTTTAGTTGTGCTTTGCCACAAGTATTTCTTGTTCCATGTTGTGAATTTTGAAGATTTCTTTATTAAATTAACTTTCACATTAGGAATTATCTGGAATAGAGGGGAAAACATGAGTGGGAACATTTATTTTGGAATTACTTCTCCTAAAACTTATTAAAAATAGCTTTAGTTAACTTAGAGCTTTCTGCAATTTAGTATTATCCCTTTGAAGGGCCAATGCAAGTTAAAAATGTTAAACTTTATCACCATCTCTGTAATAAAAGATTCCAAAAGCTAAGATAGTTCTTAAGAGTCTTAAGTTTAAAAAGAAATTATACAAATTGGTACAAAGTATTAATTCCACCCTGAGTTTTTGGACTATACAAGTTCCTAATCAGTCACCCACCAGTTCAAATCTTAAGTAAATCTATTTGAAACAGGCAACACACTTTCTGGCCTGATCACTTTCCAGAAAAAAAGGAAAAAAGCCAGGATCACATTGTTTTGTTTCCATCTCCACCATCACTTCAGAGGACATGACATGCAGTTTCTAGAGCAGAATACCCATACACAGAAGGGGGCATATGTGAACAACTTGTGCACAACCTTTTTTTTAAATTTGGTGTTTGTTTCATGAATGAAGGTTTAACACTGAGGTGAAGAAACAAAAGTAATTTTTAAAATTCCACTTGAAGTAGGAACTTTTCCAGCGATCCCCCAACCTGGTTTAAATTTTAATCTGCACTAACTCATGTAGTAACATCAGTTTGTACCTCTCACCAGTCATTTATAACCCCATGTACACTGGGATAATCATGTTACAGCTTCTTTTGCTCTTTGGCATCCAGCTTGGGATGTGCATGTGTCCCTTCCCATGTTTACCCAGTTGTTGGGAGGGATGACTGAGCCAGAAGCCTGCATGCAGTCCTGCCAGATGTAGTAGTCTGCGTATTTGCCAGTCTGATTGCGGCTCAACTGAAACCACTGGTGTTTGTCGCTTGTGTGGTTTGGTATTAAATCCATTATCACCTTTAGCCCTTAAAAATAAAAACAAAACATAAAAAAATTCATCAAACCCCCCCAGCCCCCAAATTACATTACATTTAGCCTTTTAAGACAACATTCATATTTTTTCTAAATGCAGTATCAGAGGTATTTGGGCTTCTTCCATGCCAGAGGTCTGGTGGAGGGGCAAAAGAAACCCAAAAAACCATAAAAAGTACCAGACTACCAAAACAGTTAGACCAGACTGGTGTTTGCAAGTAGCTGGAACACAGCTTGGGAGGGAAAGAAGGGTGAAGAAAAAAATCAGAACAGATTTCTGTTATTATGAGCCACTTTCACTAACTCTGACTCCATCATCTGTCTCACACCTCCCAGGTGAGAAAGGCACTTCACCAGTCTAGCATCAGTGAACACACATTCTTCATCACCCTGCCTAAAGACCAGATGTTCTATTGAAACCTCAAATATTTTCAGACTGGCAAACCATTTTCTGTTCAGCTCAACAGCTGCAAGAAGAAACACCTGAGCAAACATTTGGTCTGAGGCATAAAAGCACCAAAGCAAGGATGCAAGGTCAGGAAGGAAGCGTGTATTCCCTCATGTTCAGTCAGACAGAACTGCACCTCAGCTTGATCCTGTAATGCCCATAAGATAGGCCTCAGGGGGCATGGACAGGTGCCAGCCCACCACCCACAAACATCCTCCTTGCAGAGGACATGCTGCCACCCTGTGCTGCTGCTGTAGCTCCCTGTGCCCTCTGTCCTGCTTTCAGCACTGCTCCAGAGCCAAAGGGCAGGAAACAGCAATCACGGAGCTCACGTTGCTGTGGAGTCGCCTTGTATCCTTTGCTGGAACCTCCCATCTGCTCCTGCTCAATGCCACCACGGGGGGACTGACAGATGCACAAACAAGTCTATATAAGGTCCATCTTCTCAACAGAGTTACCTTGCCTGGAGGTGCAGCTTACCTTTGTCATGTATGGCTGCAACCAGATTCTCAAAATCTCTCATTGATCCAAAAATGGGATCAATGTCATAGAAATCTTCAGCTCCATATCCAAGGTCTTTTAAAGGAGACTTAAAGAAAGAGGTGATCCAGATGGTTTTTATATTCAAATATGTAATATGGTCCAGTTTTTCTTGGATACCTATTTAAAAAGGAAAGGACATCATTTGTTCAGGAAAGACAGAAGATTTCTGTTTGTACAAAGGTTCCTTTATCTTTCTGACATGTTACTGTGGTATGCAACTACAGAAGCAGTTTCTTCCCTTCACTTGCCAGTACTGTACAGTGTGGCTATCATTCCTTGTTTAGAAATGCATTGTCCATTTTGAGCCTTGCCTTTCTGCAGGGCAGTCTCAGCTCAGCTCCTGATAAGTGGCATTGGTTCCTTGCTACCAGGGGCCCCATCTCCACTCATTCTTATGAGCTGATAACACCTAGACCATGAAGAAAACAACACATCCTTCTCCCCTCATTGTCAGATTTGGTTTTCCTTAAGAAGAGCAGCCACCAAACATGACCAGGTGCTCCGCACCTTTCATCCTTCTGACTGGACTCAGTCTGACTCTGGCAGCAGCTGTGCTGCTGCTTGCTCCCAGCACCATCTCTCAATATCCCTTCTAATTCCCCGCTTAGACTTAACTTGAGCAAGCAGCTCTTGGATTTATTCACAACATGAGTTGCTATTAATGTTGCCTGACTTTTCTTACTTCTCTCCATAAAGGTGGCTTTGTCTATTGGACTGTACTCTTCCACTGTTTGTTTTTTTTTTTATATACACACACAACTGTTACACAGCAAGAACGAAAACTGACTCACCTTTCAGATCCCCATTCCCATCCATGTTGCTGTCCTTGAAGGAACGAGGATAGATCTGGTAAATAGGACTAGCTTGCCACCAGTCAAGGCACTTTGGAGAGAGAGCAATGATGGCAATCGTAGTGCACACAAGTGCCACAGAACCAGCAATTATGAGCCAGAAGAGGATCTCCCTGGTGACTCTGTAGCGGGCTTGGCTGGAGAACTGCAGCAAGACTTCCTTTGGCATCCCAGCATAAGGCTTCAGCACCGTATCCTCTACAACCACCAGGTCCACATCAACACTGCACTTTTTTGACATTTCTTCTTGGCTACTGGTATCCATCTCCTTGTCCTCAAAAGCCTCATTTTGAACAAATCCATTGTTCTCCACACCTCCCTTCTCACTCAGCTCCATAGGTAAGCTCTTAGCTTTCACCTCAACTGTTTTACTTGAAAGTTCTTGTCCTGGAGACTGGCCACAGCACCTTTGTTCAGTGGAATGAGAAGCAGTGCAATCAGCTACTCTGGGTTGATAATCAATCCTGACCAACTGGTCAAAGGTCAAAAAGAGACAAAAAGGACAAAGTGCTCACAATTTTCTGCATATTCATCATCTTCAGCAAGATAACAAAATAAGATTTTTATAAGATAGGGCAGTTCTGCTGGGAAGAAAAGGCTATTGTTGGTATCAGCTGAGCACAGTTATGTTTACTCTTGCTCTCTCCAGTACACCACACTTCTCTTCCTTATGATAGGAGGGGGAAATTCAGGTTTTTACCACTATGCAGCTTTCCAAATTGGTCCTAGTCTCCCTTGCCTGAAGCAATCTGAATATGGGTAATTTAAATATGAACAGCAAGAGAATGAAGGTTGGCAACCACTGGCCCAAACACACCACAAACTAATAAGAAAAGATTCAAAAGCTGGTTGTGCTTCTTTTTCAGTTTAGATAACCCACCCCAGCCCACCCCCAACTCCCAAGCACTAACAACTGCTGTGGTACATACTGATCCAGTGACTTACAGCAGGTACATGGGGTGGATTGTTACCCCCAGAACCAGCCCCGGGGCAGGACAGGATAGTTCTCCACAGGCACAAGCAAAATTCAAGAGAAAAAACCCACTGCCCACTATTAAAATCCATCCCCCCATTAAAAGGGAAGAAAAAAAAAAAAAAAAAAAAAAAAAAAGCCCCAAGTGCCTGAAGTCAGCATCAAGACATCCCTTCCCACCAATGCCCCCTGCCCAGCACACCAAAGGACACACAAAGAATATTGCAAAGGAGCTGCCCTATCACTTGTAAAAGTTAACTCCTACCTCTGACCATAGGGTCAGGATCCTATGGAAACTCATGGACAACTGCAGTGGAGACAAGGCTGGGTTGTGATTTAAAAAAAGCGTTTATGGTGTTTGCCTCAAGCAATGAAAGAAGTTTATAAACTACGGACTGTAAAAAATACAGCATGCAATATTAAAATTACTCAAAAATGTGTTATTTCTTCAGTAGCTGAGCTAAGAACACGTATTTGATGTTGACAGATTTAATCCTTCCTCTTCTTAACAGCAGTGCCTGGCAGCAACCTCAGCCTGTGCAGTGTCAGGCAGCTGTGGAAGCATCCGAGATAACAGCTGTATTGTCAGTGCCTGTGATTCAGTATTGCCAGGAAATTCGAAATATCTGACACAGTTTCACTTGCCTTTAACGACTCTACAGTCTTAACATCATCATATCAGTAAGCTGTAAAAGTTTCCAGACAGGCACTGTGCACTCAGGGCATACACTTGTATTCAGTGCAATGCCAGTGACTTCTCACTCCATTTCAATTGTTTCATTTCAACGACTTAACTTGCAATTAAAGTAGAGAATGTATAAATACTGATTATTTTTAGACTGCATCAAATACACCTAAAGACCTGGTACTCCCCAACTTGCTTTTTTCCCCGCCAAACTCAGAGGTTTAAAAGTGCCAAAGTCTTCCTGCATACACAAAAGCTCTCTCAGTCACCCAAAAACAGCAAAGCCAGTCAGAGCAAGAGCAAATGATGGCCAAAACACAGCCATATGCCACAGATGCATGGGTCACATAAGCCAAGGAGACTCAGGACACTCAGGTGCCAAGTATTACTGGTGGAATCAGAAAGGGGAAACTAGATCCAAGTGTGTATTTCAGCTCCCTCCCATCTCTTTTCTTTAAGCCAGTAAACTTTCTAATGATTATTTCCTGTGTGGACAGGTTTATTTGTTCTAGGGACAGAGGCAGCTTATCCTTGGCACACACAGTTTTACAACTGACAAAGGCCAATTTAGTGTCTCACCAGTCAGAAGCTGCCACTGCTCTCTGTACACATTGTTTGGAAACCATTACTTTCCCCTCATTCGAGTATCTTGCAGGAGCAGCCTGCTCTGTGAATCCCACTGTACAAAAGCCATGCCTTCAAAAGAGCCCCTCGTGTCCTAATGTAATCCCCAAGTAACATTAAAGGCTTATTTATGCCCTAAGTAGGGCAGACCGTGTCTTAATGGCCAAGTGTCTGGCTGAAAAGAGAAGGATTATAGCGCTCTGGTAGATAAATGCAGCATGCAGGGGTGGAGGCCATGGATAGATGAATCCACGTGTGCCATCTCCGCTGGCTGCAGAGCACGCAAAGATCCAGTGACACAATCACTGTGGGGTTGAAACGGAACATAAGCCATGCTGGAAATTACCAGGTGGCAGTGCTGGTGAACACACAGTCTGTAGAGTTGGACTGAGCAGGCTCACAGCCACACTGCAGTCGCATCTCACACCATATCCACGCTGCTCCCTGAGAAGAGCTGAAGTGCAAGCAGGTACCAGTGGAACACAGGTACACTTAGGGTAGGCATCTGGGCCTTAAATCCTAAAAGTTCCTCTAGAAAGCTTGAAGAAAATATACAGCCAAGGAGCTTAAAACAGGTCTGGATGATCAACTACCACAGACCCAGGAGAACAAACCCAAGAATCTGGTATTGTCTTCTGTATGATTTTCCTCACCGACTAAAACCCACACAGGTATTTTGTTATTAAAGACTTATTTTTTTTCCTCTCCTCATCCTGAGGAGTTGCTTGCCTTAAAATTATTTGATAAAGGAATAAAGTAAACTTCATCTTAGAAAGGTAGATCACCAACAATTCCCACTGAGCTTTAACTTTTCCCTTTTAAAATATATTTTATGTATGCAGGCATTATGCATCTGGCTTGCTCTCAAGCAATTGTGAAATGGTTCCCTCCTGAGCTATTTTAGTTTAGCAGGGGTAACTAGCCAGTGCAACTGTGTTAGCAGAATCCACTGAAAAGCATTAAATAGTAAAGAAAACACTTTATATTCTGTGCCAGTTACTCTGTTTACCTCAGGGTTAGGTAGGGAAACAAAACCAATCTGTATGTGGGCAGTAATAGCTGCTATCTCCACACAGATTGCCATGGTTATTTCTATAAGATGGAGGGGTTAATTTTCACAAGTATTTCTTATATATAATTATTTAGATGCACTGACTGACTTAGTCATCTACTGTTTGATGCTCTGCAAATGCCAAGTAGCTTGCCAGTTCCTCAATACCACAAATATTACCACCAAAAAACATGCAGAGGGGTGATTATGCACCCTAATGTGTTAAGTGTAGGAAGACATTTATTGTTAAAAAGTTCTCTTGCTTTATGCTTTTTCATTAAAAGGTTTGTTGCCACTGGAACCAGTCTGACATAATGCACTTTAAATATAACCTCATTATTTACAGAATCAGGGCCAGATTTACAGGTATGTAAAAAAGGCAGACACCTTAGCAGCAGCTTTACCTCAGCAGCTCCCACAAGACTGATGGATAATCTGACCTTTAAAGCTATCTTTCACCCAGCACTAAGAAAATCTTCCCTTGACCTGGACTGTAGCTGTCAAGAGAGAAAAGGTCTAGGGGAACAAGTTTCTGACACAGTATCTTTTACCATGAACATGTCTGAAGTTTCTGCCATCAGCCTGAAGTCCTGGGGGTGGTAAAACGTAATTGCCCAGGACACTGTACACAGGGTTTGGTGGGGGTTTTGTTACATTTTTAATGCTCTTAGTCCACTAATGGACTATGTGATTAAAGGTTAATGTCATTATGAATGCTGTAATTAGCTACTGCTTGGCTCACATGAAATTTCAGGAGAAGGCAGCACCCGGCCCCTGCCCTCAATGGTTGATCAGCAAGGCTGGCTTCTTCCACAATTTTTCATGAAAACAATTATCCACTAATTCCTGCTGCTATCATAGCTGCAAGAACAAGAGAATGCAGTGCTAACTCCGTTTGGATGCTTCCCCCACAGAGGGTCAAACACTACATACAATCCACAGAAAAACAAACTTCAGGTTTGTTGCCTCTCCAGAAGGAAGCTCACTCACATTAATTGTGCTCTTTTCAATTTACACTCTTCCCCTTTTGGCATTCATCTGCCTCATTTCTGTACTAGAGGATGACAACTTCCAAAGGATTTTCTTTTCCAGCCTACTCCTCAAAACCTTTCCCAGCAAGAGACCTAGACCTTGCTCTTCCCCTTGTATGAGCTGGAGAGGTTCAGCACGGTATTAAATCATGGCAGACCTGAAGTTTGGATGACTGTAACTCAAGAGTGACCTTGTGTTACTGAAACATCCCTGAAGTGGGAGATCTACAATACAGATGGCACAGCCAGGCAGCCCAACAGGAAGCCAAGGAGAAGAAAAACAAAATGGCATCACACTACATCACTACTGCGTCCATCCTTTGGGTTACCAAAAAGACAGCACCCCACCAGATACTTCGGCCTTTGCCAGGGCTCATCTCTGACAACAATTTGCATCCACTGAATAGGAATCTGAGGAACAGGTTTCAGTCTGTTGAGCACAAAGCACTTCCTACTGTGGAAGAATTAATTGGAAGGGGCTGTCAGCAAACAGCTGTCACTGCATGAGCACACCTATTGCCATACTATAGGTGGTACAGGATGTACAGCTTTTCACAGTGCCTCAGCTTCCCCACCTGAAGGAATTACACACATAGTATCACAGATAAGGTACTCCATATAAATTTACTCCTCCTCCCTGTCTCTCTCAGTGCATAAAGATAGGCCATCCTGCAAACAATTTGCTTTTTCACAGGTATCAAATTAGTGGCAAGTATTCCATGATGAAACCTACACAGGTTGTGCTCCTGAGAAATCATTTCGTGCTGGAAGAGCTCAGTTCATACCAAATATCTCCAGTCTGTACAGAAAGATTCACTCTCCAGTACTGAATTGTACCTCAAGGCTCTTACAACAGCTGCTTCTGACCAACAGTTCATGGATTCCACATCAGACCATCAGCAGTCCATCAGCATTAATGTGTATAAAAATCAATGTGAGCACTAGAAGTGAAACCAAAGAACTGAAAGCACATATTTTGTAAAAAAGCCCTGCCTTAGGATGCAATGCAGGATTTAACCAAAAGTATGTATTCTATTACCATCTGTTAAAACCAAGTGTGGCAGTGTTCTTTATCTCTTCCACGTTCC